CTTAGAGTAAATTACTCACTGATGCAGCGTATAATTCTTTATGGTACAAAATGTCGCCCAGTCAGGGAAAAAATATGTTACTCGTAATTATGAGGTCTCAGAAAAAATTGACCCTTACAGCAGGAGAAATGGCGGATTTATCGTTAGAAACCTTTACGAGTGTAAGCATTTGGATTTTTTTAAATCTTTTGATTATGTAATATATTGTATTTTTGTGAATTAATGACAGTGCATGTTAGAACATGAGTCATTTGCATACACATATCAATGCATCTCTTTGCGAATAATTTCTTTCATTTTATTGTAGATCATGAAAGCATCGGTTTCATACGTATCTGTCTTAAACGCGATGTATTGATACCAGTTGAAACTATAGTGCGCCGGGATCAGCACTGAATGGTGTAATTAACATATGACAATTTAGACCCAGTTATGATATTATATAATAATAGCATAACAAATTTTGATACTTAGAATAGATTTGTTAGAAGATTACAAGTTATAAAATATATGCTAATATTTCATACAATATAACACATATGTTTTTTTTTATTTTCTTATTGTATTTTATATAAAAATATTTTTACCTCTTAAAATATGAAAGCTTTATGCCATCTCCAAGGTATTTGCCGTTGAACCTTCTTCAGGGAAGTTGTGTTTTTTTTACATAAATTAAGTAGTCTTTATACTGCCTATACTCTCACCTAGATTTATAGGCATACAGTTTATTCGGACAATTTTTTTTTTGATACAGTATGAAATATGCGCCCTTAAGGACACTTTTTACCGTGATATTTATGAAAGTTATTTGCTATTATTCGCCATTCACCTTTAGTCCACGAAAGACACAATGTTCTCCTCTCGCTTGTTGCTTTCAAGAATCGTGACCTCGCGACTAATTCAGTTCTATTAGAATAATTAATGCGGGAATTACGATTATTCAACTGAAGCAACGTACGTTAAATATTCTTCTGTGCACGTATAAAACGCAAGGTTCACTTACTTTTTATTGTCGGTATCAAATTGTGGTTGAGGAAAATTTGTAGAGAGAAACTGACTCTCTCTCGAAGAAAGACATACGTTTAAGCTTTTTTCATTACACGGTCGGATTGCATTATTCAAACCATTCCGCGGAATTATAGGACATTAATACCGATAATGAACTATATCTCGACATACTGTCATATTACTTAATGTGCAATAACGATTGATGGATGGTCACCGGAGTGGGGACGTAGCACGTGGGGATGCACTTGGAGAAGCGGTCGGTGCTCTCGCAGTTTACACTTCACATCGTGTTGTGCATGTTTCGAGTTTAGTTTCCTCGCATCTTCTCGCTATCGTTGACAGATGGTAATTACGAGCACTATAAGTCCATCATTGGAGTATAGTCTTCGAATACTTGGCATATGGCCGGGCATGACAAACGTTGCCGTGAACCGGCTCTTTTACATGTCGAGTATGTTGATCATACAGTATTTTCAATATAATTACTTTTTCGCTCATTGCAAGTTCGACGAGATAGAGAATCTTATGGACAACTTACCGCAAACTTTAGATTACAGTTTGACGGTCATCAAGATGACGATACTTTGGAAAAATCGTCAGTAAGATACTATATCAAATAATATCATTTTTAGTTTTTCCGATTCGTGACCGCTTTTGAGAAACAAGACCAATGCAGAGTCCTATAATGTGTATATTATTCGTTTTCTGCCATCTTTATTAAAGAGTACCGTGACTTAATAATTATACGTTCTAAATGTTGTTCGATGAAAAGTATAATTTCGCGTGCAAATTACAACGGCACTACTCAAAATATCTCTATTTGATTAAAGAAACACATTACAGCGTGGTTCGTGAAATATTGGCCGCTATGGACACTGATTGGCGTGAGTGCGTAAACTTCGATCAGTATTTGCAAGTGATGATGGCGAAAGCCAGCATTTCGCATTTTTGCACGAATGCTATGCTGAGCTTGAACACAATTATCGGTGTACTCTATATACTGAGCGATTTCGNCATATTAAGTGATTCCGCAGTTGGTATCGTGCACCAGGTTGAAGGCAATAATAATACCTCACGACCATTTCCTATCAAGATAAAGTTTCCCTTCGAGGTCGAGCAATCGCCGATATACGAACTTCTCGTCGTCATCGTGTCTGTGCATGTGATGTTAAATATGTTCACAGTTACTATTGTGAATGTTCTGATCTTCACTCTGGTATGACTCGCAAAATTCTGTAATAAAGTGACTCACAAATCCGAAAAGTAATATAATATCATTGAAAATTTAATTTCATTTGTAATTTTACTTATTTTTGCACAAAGTGTGACAACAGTGATACTTGGATTTAAAAATATTACAACTTGTTCATCACGTAATTGTAAATTTTTCTAACTGAATAATCGATTATCTTTTTTCATATAAATGAATAATATTACATTCTGATTTCTCTTCCTCTTTTTCTTATTCTGAGGTATTCTGCAGAAAGCATTTTCTTCCTTAATTGTAATATTTGAACTCTTTGCAGAAATTTAAATATGTTTTAGGTACTTCACGCAAGCGGACAAATCGATATTGTATGTCAAGATTTACAAGCTACCTCTGGAAAAACACCTTATTATGGATCTTCCGTGAATACAATAAAAATTCTGATCGAAAGGCACAATAAAATTATCAAATTTTCCGGAAATCTCGACAAACTTTTTTCATCTATGGCTTTGATACAAGTGTTTTTGGATACCTTAGTCAACTCTTTCCTAGGATTTGTTGTCATGACAGTGAGTATTGCAGTGTCCGTATGAATATTCGATGATCAATATCGTAATTCATTCAATTTATCCGATCGTTTAATAATAGTCTTTTCATAATGACGCTGACGTCGGATTGATAAAACCCATATTTGCTTATATGGTCATAACGACGGAAATTTTTATTTTTTGCTTTGCTGGAGAATATCTTAGTCATAAGGTTGGTAAATATTTAAATATCTATAATTTTCTATGATTTTTTCAAATCGAAATTTGTAATTTGATAATTCATTATTAATTACAACAGGTTATTCGTTTAAAATAATTCTCTGTTGAAAACGTTTTTATAGCTTGCATATATATATATATATTTTTTTTTTTAAATAAGTAAAAATTGTTGTCTATATGATTGTTTTCTTAAAACTATACTATAATTATCATATAAGAAATTGTCACATATATAATTGTTTTCTATTGTATTACAAGTATTTTTTATGATATCTATAAATTTTAAACACTGTATACTAATTTTTTATTAAATATATCATTCTATTTAAATTTCTGTTGCTTCTTTCTTAGAGTAAATTACTCACTGATGCAGCGTATAATTCTTTATGGTACAACATGTCGCCCAGTCAGGGTAAAAATATGTTACTCGTAATTATGAGATCTCAGAAAAAATTGACCCTTACAGCAGGAGAAATGGTGGATTTATCGTTAGAAACCTTTACGAGTGTAAGCATTTGGATTTTTTTTGATCTTTTGATTATGTAATATATTATATATTTGTGAATTAATGACAGTGTATATTAGAACATGAGTCATTTGCATACACATATCAATGCATCTCTTTGCGAATAATTTCTTTCATTTTATTGTAGATCATGAAAGCATCGATTTCATACGTATCTGTCTTAAACGCGATGTATTGATACCAGTTGAAACTGTAGTGCGCCGGGATGAGCACCGAATGGTGTAATTAACATATGACAATTTAGACCCAGTTATGATATTATATAATAGTAGCATAACTAATTTTGATACCTAAAATGGGTTTGTTAGAAGATTTGCAAGTTATAAAATATATAAGCTTATATTTCATACTATATAATACATACGTTTTCTTTTGCTTTCTTGTTGTATTTTACATGAGAATATTTTTATCTGTAAAAATAAGATAGCTTCATGCCATATCCAAGGTTTTTGCCGTTGAACCTTCTCCGGGAAAGTTGTGTTTTTTTACATAAATTAAGTAGTCTTTACACTACTTATAGGCATACAGTTGATCCGGACTTTTTTTTACTTTTGATACAGTATGAAATGTGCACCTTAAGAACACTTTGTATCGTAATTTATGGAAATTATTCTCTATTATTCGCTATTCACCTTTAGTCCAGGAAAGACACAATGTTCTCCCCTCGCTTATTTCTTTCAAAAATCGTGGCCATGCGACTAATTTAGTTCCGTTCTCTTAGAATAAAAAATACAGAATTACGATCTCTGAACCGAGTCACTGTACATTAAATGGTCTTTGGTACTCATAGAGAACGTAAGGATCATGTGTTATTTGTCGTCGGTATCACATTATCGTGGGAAAATATTCTTGGAAACAAATTGTCTACCTCTCGAAGAAACATACGTGTAAATTTTTTTCAATGCATGGTCGGAAGACATTATTCAGAGCGTTGGTACACGAACAGATGGCATTATTCAGACATCTCCATAGAATTACCGTCCACGCCGATAATGAGCTGCATCTCGACTTACTGTAATATTGTCTAGCGCATAATAATGATTGATCGGTCACTGGAGTGGGGATACAGTACATGGGGATATACCTGGAGAATCGGTCAGCGCCCTCTCAGTTTATATTACACATGGTGCCGTGCATGATCCGACTATAGTCTCTTCGCGTTTCCTCGTTATCGTTGACGGATGATGATCATGAGCACTATAAGTCCGTCGCTGAAAAAAAGCCTACAGTTCCTTTGTATGTGGCCGGACATGACATACGCCGCTATTAAACGGTTCTTTTACATATCGAGCTTTTTGATTATGCAGTATTTTCAATATCATTATGTTTTCACGCACTTCAAGATCGACAATATACAGAATCTTGCAGACAGTTTGCCACCAACTTTAGATTACAGTTTGACGATCGTGAAAATGATAATGATTTGGAAAAATCGCCGGTAAGATCCTGTGTCAGGCAGCGCGATTTTTAGTTTTTCCGATCTGAGTCCGCTTTCGAGATGACTCAGAGTTCCCCAATGTGTATTATTCGTACCATTTGATCTTCGTTAAAAGGCAAAGTGACTTAATAATTGCACGGTCTAAATATTACTTGATGCAAGGAAGTACAATTTCGCGTGGAGGTGACAACGGCACTACACGAAATATCTCTATCCGATTAAAGTGATACATTGCAGCGTGGTTCGTGAAATACTGGCCGCTATGGACACTGATTGGCGCGAGTGTGTGAACTTCGATCAGTATTTGCAAGTGATGACAGCGAAAGCCAGCATTTCGCATTTTTGCTCGAACGCAATGCTGATTTTGTACACGGTTATCAGTGTACTCTATCTCTTGGGCGATTACGCGGTTGGTATCGTGCATCAGGCCGATAACGACAATGATACCTCACGACCGTTTCCCATCAAGATAATATTCCCCTTTGAGACTGAGCAATCGCCGAACTACGAACTTCTCGTCGTCATCTTGTTTCTGCATGTGATGTTAAATACGTTCACAGTTACTATCGTGAATGCATTGATTTTTACTCTAGTATGTCTCTACTCGTGAATGCATTGATTTTTACTCTAGTATGTCTCGCAAAATTCTATAATGAGGCAACTCACAACCCGAAAAGTAATATAATTTCACTGGAGATTTAGTGAATTTGTAATTTAACTTGCTTTCACACAGTCTGAATTCGGTGAAACCTAGATCTAAAAATATGATAAGTTACTCATCACAGGACCGAAAAGTTTTCTAACTGAATGTCGATCGTCATATTCACGTATATGGACCATATTATATTTGCTTTATTTACTTCTTTCGTTTTCTTTTTGTAGCCGAAATATTCTTCCGAAAGTATATTCTTCTTTAATCATAATGCTTGAATTCTTTACAGAAATGTAAGTATATTTTAGGTACTTCATGCAAGCGGACAAATCGATATTATATGTCAGGAGTTACAAACTACCTCTGAGAAAAAATCTTTTCACGGATCTTGTGGACAAACAATAAGAATATTGATCGAGAGGCATAATAAAGTCATCACATTTTCCGAGAATCTCGACAAACTTTTTTCCTTTATGGCTTTGATGCAAGTGTTTTGGGATACATTAGTTATGTGTTCCTTAGGATTTCTCGTTATGACAGTGAGTATTGCAATGCCTGTACGAATGCTCAATGAGCGATATCGTAAATTATCCGATCGTTTAATAAAACAGTCTATTCATAATGCCACTGGCGTCAGATTGGTGAAAACCATGTTTGCTTATGTGGGCGTAACAATGGAAATTTTTATATTTTGCTTTGCTGGAGAATATCTTAGTCATAAGGTTAGTGAATATCTAAATATATATTTAATGGACCATTTAACAATTACGGCATACGAGAGGACAGGGGCACTATAAGCTTGCGAGACAGTTGCGAAGGCGGGAGGGGGAGGAGGGGGATAAAATCCATGCAGCGTCACATTAGATGGCATAACTTGTAAATATGGATATGAGTAGTTATTCACTTTATATTTCGAAACTTTAAGCTTTCGCGACTTAGATAAACATTCGATGTAGCTTCCGAGTTGGCGTCGCGTCTTTCGAGGATTTGTATCCAACGTTTCGTGAACATTTCAATTTACTTTTTTAGAATGAGAATCGACCTAAAATAATTTAAAAATACCAAAATTAGCGTAATATATTTGTCGAATAGCTCTTAAATATATATTTTTTGTATATGTTATATATGATTTTTTCGTGCAATTTAAATTTTATAATTTACTATTAACCATCGCTGGTTGTTCGTTAAACACTATTCTATATTACAAACGATTTTACAATATATTATTTGAATATATAGATATATTTTTAAAGTGAAAATTCTTGTTTACTTAATTGTATTCTTGTATTATAATTATCATGTAAGAAATTGTCATATATATAGCTACTTCCTATTATATTGTATTCAGACATTTTTTATAATATAAATTACAAATATTGTACGCAATTTTTTTATTAAATATATTATTCCATTTAAATTTCTGTTGCGTTGTTTTTAGAGTAAATTACTCGCCGATGCAGCTTACAGTTCTTTATGGTACAACATGTCCCTCAGTCAAAGTAAAAATATATTATTCGTAATTATGAGATCTCAGAGAAAACTGACTCTCACAGCGGGAAGGATGGCTAATTTATCATTAGAAACTTTTACGACTGTAAGCTTGCAGATTTTTCTTGATCTTTGGTTATCTAATATATTATATTTTTACTAATTAATGACAGTGCATATTAGAAAATGAATCATTTGCATATATATTAATGCATCTCTTTGCGAATAATAATTTATTTCATTTTATTATAGATCATGAAAGCGTCAGTGTCATATGTGTCTGTCTTCAATGCAATGTATTAATATCACTTGAAACTATAATATATTAAGATCAGCAATGAATGGCGTGATTAACACAAATGAGAATTTAGACACAGTTATGAATGATTTTATATAATATATAGCGTAATAATCCTAGAATAAATGTGATAGAACCTTTTCATGTTCCAAAATTTAGGCTCATATTTGATACAAAATAAGACATACATCTTTTTGTTTTTTTGTCATATTGTAATGAAAATATTTGTGTCTAAAAAAATAAAATAGCTTCATACCATGTCTAAGGGATCTGCTATTGAAACTTCTCCGAGGAGTCGGTGCATCTCTATGATATCTGTGAAGATTAGGTAATATAGAATTTTAAATATTATAAACTAGAATTTTAAATATATATAAAGTTTGCTATTTGTTTCTGCATTGGATGCACTAGTTCAAAAACTGCGAGTTCTGATATTCACTGCCAATATTGTGAAGCTGTAGTAAACATAACATAAATTAATAATTGGATAACAAATTTCGGTAGATACTAGATATAATCGATCCATAGATTATATCAAAAACCATATTTAATACACAACAAGAAATTCCCCTTTGTTGCTATGTTGTTATATTGTACAATAACATATTTTATCCGAAATAAAATGATATCACCCACTACGTTCAAGTCATTTGTCGTTGGACCTACTCCGAAAAGATTGTACATCTCAATATAAATTAATTAGCATTTTTACGCTACCTACCCTTCTGTCTAAATTTCTACATATATCTAGTCGATTTGGAATTTTTATCTTTGATGTAGTTTCAAATGTATACCGTTGAAAACGCATTTCACGTATTTCATCTTTTGATGCATCCTTGAGAACACATCATAACACAGCATTTATGAAAATTATTCGCCGTTATTAGCTATTCGTTTTTAGTCCAAGCGAGACACAATATTATCCCTTCGTTTATTTCTACAAGACTCATGGTCACGCATGTAAATCAGTTCCGGTTCGTTAAAATCATAAATATGGAATTACCATAGCTGAACCAAGTTACTGTACATAAAATGGTAATTTGATACACGTGGAAAATGCGATAATAATGCATTTTTTGTCGAAGGCATTAAATTATCTTGGAAGGAAATTCGCTGAAAAGAAACGTCCACCTTTTACGGGGCATACGTGTAACTTTTTTCACAGCGTAGTCAGACGGTATTATTCACAGACTCGATCAGGTCAGCAAGGTCAGATGATATTATTCAGAGCAGTTGACAGAAGGACGTTCGTGCTGATAATGAGCTACATCTCGACTTACCGTTATACTTTGCAACTCATGATGACGATTGATTGGTGGAGTGAGGAGAGGGGATGCAGTACTCTTGGAGAATCGGCCGGTGCTCTTTCAGTTTATATTATACATCGTGCCGTGCATAATCTGGCTTTACTTGCCTTTGCGTCTTCTCGCTATCGTTGACCAATGGTAATCACAAACAGTATAAGTCCGTCTTTAAAATATGGACTTCAATTCCTTGTCATGTGGCCGGACATGGCATACGCCACAGTTAAACGGTTCCTTTACCTAACGATCTTTCTGATTATGCAGTATTTTCAATATCACTATGTTTTTACGCACTTCAAGATCGACGAGATACAGAATTTCGTAGACAGTTTACCATCAACTTTAGCTTACAGTTTGACGATCGTGAAGATGATAATGATTTGGAAAAATTGTCGGTAAGTTCATATATCAAACAACGAGATTTTCAGGTTTTCCGATCACGTCCTCTTTCGAGAAAAGAGACTGCCGCCGAGTCACTGAATACTACATACTAATATTATTAAATATACTATTTATGTTCCTTGATCTTCGTTAAAGAGCAATATGACTTAATAATGGCACAATCTAAATATTATTTAATACAAGAAAATGTAATTTGGCGTGAATGTGACAAGACACATGTGGCAACGATATTATACGAAGAAGCTATATCCGAATAAAACGTAACATTACAGCGTGATTCGCGAAATACTGGCTGCTATAGACACTGATTGGTGCGAATGCGTAAACGTCAATCGGTATTTACAAGCGATGACGTCGAAAGCCAGCATTTCGCATTTTTGCTCGAATGCTATGCTAGGCTTCAACACGATCGCTGCTGTAATTTACATCCTGGGCGATTACGCGCTTAGTATCGTGCATAACGACAAGAGTGACAATGATACTACACGGCCGTTTCCCATCAAGCTAACTTTTCCTTTTGAGGCCGAGCAATCACCGATCTATGAGCTGTTGGTTGTCGCAGTATTTCTGCATATAATGTTAAACATGTACATCCTAACTATTGTAAACGCGCTAATTTTTACTCTGGTACATTTTACAATGTTCTATAATAATAGGTCGAATCATTCACGAAAATTATCGATGCGTGTTATATAATATTACTTCACTTGCGTTTTAAAAATAATCTGGTTGGCAAAAGTTCTTAAATCAAGTGTGGCGTAGTAAAAAAATGGATCTGAAAATATAAAATTTACACTACACCCGTTCACTAATTTTTATAATTTAACAACTGAATTTTATATTTGAACATGTAGACATTATCACATTTATTAAAAAGCTTTATCTTCTTAAAAACTATAAAAATATGAAAAGATTATTGATGTCCTATTGAAAATAACAATTGTTCAATAGAATAGCAGTAATTTTTCTTATGCTTGTAAATTTTTTCTGCACAGAACTTTTCTTTAAACGGAGATATTCTTCAGCACATATTTTTTTATTCAAATATATTACTTAAAATATATGTAAAAACTTCAGGTTATTTTAGGTATTTCATGCAAGTGGACAAATCGATATTATATGTGGGGAGTTCAAAACTATGTCTGAGGAAATACTATATTACAGAAAATCTAAGCGTTTAATAAGCACGCTGGTCGATAGGCACAATAAAATCATAGTGTTATCCAAAAACCTTGACAAATTAATTTCCTTTATGGCTTTGGTGCAAGTGTTTTGCAATGTGTTTACCATATGTAGCGTGGGAGTTCTTATTATGATAGTCAGTATTGCAGTGCCCGTGTTAATATTTTGTGATTGATATTGTAATTCATTTAATTTATCTGATGATTTAATGATACAGTCTATTCATAATGCATCTGTCGTCGGAGTATTGAGAGGGATAGTAATATACATCCCCATAATGCTGGAAATATTCATCCTTTGCTTCGCTGGAGAATATCTTAGTTTAAAGGTTAATATATTAGAATTAGAAATATAAATATAATAAATTCTTATATATGTATGCTTTTTTCAAGCAATTTGATTTGGTAATAAATTATTAAATACAACATGTCGTATAATAAAATTATCAGTTAACACGTTGAGTGGCGCGTCAATTTCACGTGTCATTCCTTTTACGACACGTGGGCCACGAATGGCCTTCGTTATCGCACGTTATTATAAAACATATAATGTATCTGACTACAAAATCATTATTATGTAGTCATTATTATGTAGTCAGTTTCATTATTATGAAACGAAAGAGTACTTTAAGATATATCTTATAATATTTGTAAGTTTACAAAAATCATTATTATGAAGTGGAGTAAGTAAAATAAATATATACCATGCGGTCGGAACGAAAAATCCTACATGTGTCACCGATGGCCACGTGTTACTCAATGTGGCACCCAATGTGTTAAAAACGTTTACATACATATTTGAAAACTTGATCAGCCACAGAAAGATGCACAACACCATATTTTTGATCAGTTTCGCAACGCATCTCATATTCAATATTACAGGAAAATGTATTTTCTCCGACAAATATTTGAAAAAAATTATTAATAATAAATTCTTCTATTGATGCATTGGGAAATATTATATATAAAAAAATGTTGCGTAGCCATACATTCATCCTAATATGAATGTAAGTTTGTTTATTTGCTTACATATTTTATTCTACTTGTAATTATCATGCAAGAAATGTAACAAATACACACACCATACAGAGATATATTTCTTATGATATTATGCATATTTGATAAGCATAATATACTTTTAACGATTAGGCACTCTTTCTAATTTATCTAATGAAGCAGGATATCATTTTATTTTAATCTCTGTTATATTACATATTTATATTTTTTTTATATTTCAGGGCAAATTGCTGGGCAATGCAGCGTACGAATCTTTGTGGTACAACATGTCGTCTAAGAATAGTAAAAATATATTATTAGTGATTATGAGATCCCAGAAACAATTAAAACTTTCGGCGGGAGGGATGGGAGATTTATCATTAGAAGCGTTTGCGAGTGTAAGTTTCTGAATTTTTTTATCAGTAAGGTAAAAGTATTAATGCCCGAAAAAGTACCTTGACATTCTCATTATTTTGGTGTTTAATTACATATATTTAAGATTTCAACCTAAAACATACGTATATATTAAATATGTATACATTCATGGTCAAAAGTTTAGATATTCGTTGTTAAGAACCAAAATAACAGGAATGTCCAAGTTAAAGTACAAGTCTGGATATTCGTACTTTTACCTTAATTGTTTAATAATTTGTAAGTTTTTAAACTACTTAATTACTGCGCTTGTTATAAATACCAGATTACCTATACATATATATGCACTTGTTTATGAATAATTTATTTTACTTCATTCTAGATCTTGAAAGTATCGGCGTCATACATATCCGTCTTAAATGCGATGTATTGATTTTATTTAAAACTGTAGCATACCAAGTATTAATACTCAATAGCGTTATTTGAAAAATAACAAGTTAGGAACTGTTATAAACGATCACATATAACAACAGCTTAACAAATTTTGTTATCGAATATGGAAACTTTTCGGATACTCGCTATTTGTAAAATTCAGGTTAATATTTAATAAGATACGAGAAATCCCTTTTTGTTATTTCCATGTTATGTACATTAAAATAATTAAAATAATTCCTTAGAAAACAACAACGTGGCTTCATATCGTATTAAAGATATTTCTTCTTGAACTTTTTCCTGGAAGTTTGTACATCTTCACACATGTATTAAATTTCATCTTTCCAATTCCTATTTTTCTTATAGATTTCTGAGTATACCTGGTCGATAATTAATTTTTTTACCTTTGATTCAAATGTGCACCCATGAAAACGCAGCAATTGTAAAAATCATTAGCCATTATTAGCTATCCGCCCTCAAGTCAAGGGAGACATAATATTCTCTCCTCGTCCGTTTTTTCAAGATTCAAGATTTCGCATGTAATTTAGTTCCCGTCCGTTAGAATAATAAATGTGGAAACCACCGTTGATCCAAGAGTCTTTAGTTTCCTCGCATCTCTTCGTTATCGTACATTCGGCACACATAGAAAACGCAACGATTATTCATTTTTTGTCGAAGTTATTACATTGTCGTGGAGGAAAATTCCCGGATAAATTTATCCATTTTCCGAAGAGACATACGAGTAACTTTTTTATGCGTTGTCAGAAAGCATTACGTAGAGCGTCGATGTACGATCAGATGACATGATTCACAACAGCCGACAAAGTTATGGGACGTCCGTGCTGATAATAAGTTGTATTCGACTTAATGTTATACTACACGATGTACAATAACAATTGATTGATGGGAATCAGAGTGGGGATATAGCACGTGGGGATGCACTTGGAGCATCGGTGCGCTCTCAGTTTATATTACACATCGCGCCGTGCGTGCTTCGTCTTTAGTTTCCTCGCGTCTCTTCGCTATCGTTGACAAATGGTAATCACGAGCACTATAAGCCCATCATTGAAATATGGCCTTCGATTTCTCGGTATTTGGCCGAATATGGCACACGCCGCCGTTAACCGGATTCTTTATATGTCGAGTATGCTGATCATGCAGTATTTTCAATATCATTACGTTTTTGAGCATTGCAAATTCGATGATATGGAGAATCTTATGGACAACTTGCCGATAACTTTAGATTACAGTTTGTCGATCATCAAAATGACGATGCTTTGGAAAAATCGTCGGTAAGGTTCTGCGTCAGGAAACGTGGTTTTTGGATTTTTCGATCCGCGACCGCTCCCAAGAATCGAGCCCGCCGCTCCCACACTGTGTATTATATATTATTAGTTCCCCTTGACCTTCGTCAAAGAGCAATGTGACTCAATAATTACACGATCTTAATATTGCTTGATATGAGGCAGCATATTTTGTGGATGTGATAGCGACACCACACGAAGAATCTCTATCTGATAAGTGTCATATTGCAGCGTGGTTCGCGAAATACTAGCTACTATGGATACTGATTGGCGTGAGTGTGTGAATGTCGATCGGTATTTACAAATGATGACGGCCAAAGCCAGCATTTCGCATTTTTGCGTAAATACTATGTTGAGAGTTTACACGAGCATTGCTGTGCTCTATCTCTTAGGTGATTACGCGGTTGGTATTGTGCATCAGGCAGGAGGTGACAATGATACCTTACGACCGTTTCCCATCAAGATAACGTTACCCTTTGAGGCCAAGCAATCGCCAGTATATGAGCTGTTGGTTGTAATCTTATTTCTGCATGTCATGTTAAACATGTACACGTTTACTATTGTGAACGCGCTAATTTTCACTCTGGTACATCTTACAGTATTCTATAAGAATTCAGTTCGTAATTAAATTAAAATCGAAAATTATCGATGCGGTTTAAATAACGTTTCTTAATCCGCATTTTAAACATGATCTGCGAAAGTTGCTTTTATATCAATCCTGACATTAGTAAAAAATAGACATGAAGATATAAAATTTGTACTTCTGTCCGAGATAATATTTATAATTTAATAACAAATTAATATTCGATCATGTGAACAATATTTCATTATATTCTTTTTTCTTTTTTAGTCGAAAATATTCTCGAACACGTATTTTATTATTCAAACACAATGCTTAAAATCTTTGCAGAAACTTTAGTTATTTTAGGTATTTCATGCAAGTGGACAAATTGATATCATAAGTGAAGAGTTCAAGACCATATCTGAAAGAATATCCTATTGCGAATGTTCCGAGTATTCAATAGGATTATTGATCGAACGGCACAATAAAGTTATATCGTTTTCCAAGAATCTCGACAAACTTTTTTGCTTTACGGCTTTGATGCAAGTGTTTTTAAATACATTGGTTATCTGTTGCCTAGGATTTCTCGTCATGATAGTGAGTATTGCAGTGCCCGTAAGAATGCTGAATGATTTACATTGTAATTCATTCAGTTTATACGGCCTTTTAACGGAACAGTCTCTTCATAATAAACCTGGTCTTGGCTTCGTGAAAATCATGTTTGCTTACATGGGTATAGTAGCAGAAATATTTATCTTTTGCTTCGCTGGAGAATATCTTAATTTTAAGGTTAGTAAATCGTAAGTTCGGAGATATATATAGCTTAAAACAATTCTTAGTTAAAATTTACATTTTAAAATTAATATGAGCTTGTTTAATCATATTTATTTTTTTACTATACGAGGTCTGTTCAAAAAATTTCGCGAATTTTGTTTTTTCAAAAATTATTTATTTATTCATGAATATCTATTTTGTCTCCTCCAAAGTAATCCCCATCAGATATTATACACTTGTGCCAACGTTTTTTCCAATCCTCGAAGCACTTCAAAAAATCATTTTTTGTGATCTTGTTCATCTCCTCCTTCGATGCCGTCTTTATCTCCTCAATTGTAGCGTAGCGTCGTCCTTTCATGTGCTTCAATTTCGGGAACAAGAAAAAATCACAGGGGGCCAGGTCTAGGGAATACGGTGGCTGTGGCATCATTAGTGTGTTGTTTTTGGCCAAAAATTCACGCATAAGCAACGATGTGTGAGCAGGGGCGCTATCATGGTGCAAAAGCCAATTTTTATCCTTCCACAAATCCGGGCGTTTCTGGCGGATTGCTTCGCGCAAATTGCGCATAACTTGCAGGTAATATTCCTTATTGGCCGTTCTACCCTGTGGCAAGAACTCATGATGCACGCCCCTGCAATCGAAGAAAACTGTAAGCAAAACCTTCACATTCGACCGAACTTGGCGCGCTTTTTTCGGTCTTGGCTCGTGCGGCAGCTTCCATTGGGATGATTGAGCTTTGGTTTCCACGTCATAACCATAAACCCATGATTCGTCACCAGTTATGACTCTCTGGAGCAAATTTGGATCGTTGCGGACAGAGTCCAACAGCTCCCTAGCAATGTTAATGCGATGCTGTTTTTGGTCGAAATTGAGCAATTTTGGTACGAATTTCGCGGCGACCCGT